TTTGAGGTTTCTATATAAATACAAAATGCAGAGAGATCCCTTGCTCTTGCGCGTTCCCAAATTCGTGCTGTCTTCTCTTCGATTAACCCTAGCTACAACTAGTTTGTTATGGTATCAGAGCGGTTACTGATCCAGTAACTTTCAATGGCGACGACACCTCCCAATACTCCTGGAGCCATTCCTTTCGGAACCTTCTCTGGAATGTCTTTTGGGACTACTGGAGGCAACAACAACAATGATCGCCCAGATCCCTAATTCGGTAATCCATTCTATATCAACCCAAATGAGAACATTTCACAAGCAAATGTTTCAGAAGCTCTTGATGGTTCAAACTACCAGATGTGGCAACGAGCCATGAGAATGGCTCTCAAAACCAAACACAAAATTGGTTTTATCGATGGTTACATTCCTTCTCCAGGCATAGGAAACCCTAATTTTAGTACATGAGATGCTTGTAATACTCTAGTACTTTGTTGGATTCTTAATTGTGCGGACAAGGAGATAAGAAGAAGTGTTATGCAGATGATGTTGCTCGTAATCTGTGGGAAGAACTCAGATCTCGTTTTGGGTATGCAAATGCCATTAAGTTGGCTAATCTTGGAGACCATATTATTGCTTGTAAGCAGGGAAATCTCAATGTTACTTAGTATTACACTGCGTTGAAGGGGTTGTGGGAAGAACATTTGCAACTTAACCCAATTGTAGATTGCAATTGTGCTCCACAAAGAACCCAACCTTGTGCTGCAGTGGAGGCATCAAGCAGAAACAAGAGATTGACTATCTCATCAGGTTTCTAAAGGGTCTTAGACAAGAATTTGATGTGTGCATACCCAGATTTTGATGTTGAAGCCACTACCCACTGTGGAGGTGGCGATTAATGATGTTTTACAGCATGAGCAGATATTGAAAGCAGATAAAAGCACTACCAGGGGGTGTGCAATCAGTGGCTCTTGCTGTTCCAGGAGATGATCAAGATGGAAAGAAGTTCTACTGCTATTGCAAGAAAGATGGTCATACAAAGGAAGAATGCTGGAAGCTAAAGAACAAGAAGCTTAGAATGGCTGGGGGAGTTGCTGTTGCAGTCTCTCAGGGAGAGCATTCCAATGAAAGTGACTCAGTGAGTTCAGATTCTAAGCAGAGTTCAGAATCCAGGAGTGTCTCTTCAAAGGATAACTTGCATTTTTCAGCTGAAGAACTCAACAAACTGAGATACTTGTTGCAATCGGTTCCTTCTCCTAGTCCCTCACCACCTGCTTCTCCTTTAGTCAACCATATGGTATTCTCTGTTGCTCATAGTATTTCTCAGTTCCCAACTTAAGCTAGTAAGTTCATAATATCATCTTTTATGCAACATAAGGCAAAACACCTTGCTCATACCTGAATTTTGGATACCGGAGCCTCTGACCACACAGCTTGCAACATTGCTTTGTTTAGTAAAGCTTTGCCTGTTAAGGATCAGTTTGTCTATCTAGCTAATGAGACTAAGGTTGTGGTTAGTCATGTAGGAAAAGTTCAAATCTCACCTGATCTAGCCTTAGACAATGTTCTCCTTGTGCCAAGTTTCACTTTCAACCTTATCTCAGTTAGTCAATTGACAAATGATCAACCTATATCCTTACATTTTGAATCTGATTCTTGTCAAATTCAGAACCTGATGACCCAAAAAAGGATTGGTTTGGCAAGACAGAATAGAGGATTATACCAATTACACACCAACTCCAATGCCCCACTTCTGCCTACCCCACAAGCAGCCTTTACCTACAATTTCCAACCACAAAATATCCACCTCTGGCACCGGAGACTAGGGTACCCAGGCAAAGACAAGGAGAAACAGGCATTACCTTGTAATAGAGATGTAGTTTCTCATTGTCAGATTTGTCATTTTGCCAAACATAAGAGGCTTTCTTTTCCTGTTAGTACTAGTAGAGCACATGATGCTTTTGGTTTAATCCATGTCGATATTTGGGGGCCATTGGTTGTTAAGTCCCATGAAGGGTTTTCCTATTTCTTAACAATAGTTGATGACTTTACAAGAGCTGTTTGGGTTTTCTTGATGAAGTTTAAGCCTGAAACTGGTCTTTTATTGAAATCTTTTCGCACTATGGTAGAAAGACAATTTTCCAAGTCTGTTAAAATTATCAGAAGTGACCAAGGTCCTGAATTTCACATGGCTGAGTTTTATAATGCTCTTGGGATTGAGCATCAACAATCATGTGTGGAAACTCCAGAACAGAATGTTAGAGTTGAAAGAAAGCACCAATATATCTTGCATGTGGCAAGATCACTTCAATTTCAATCTGGCATTCCTCTCAAGTTCTGGAGTGATTATGTTTTACATGTTGTTTACTTAATTAACAGACTTCCCACTTCAGCTCTTGATAACAAGTCTCCCTATGAGCTTCTCTATTGCAAAGCTCTTAATCTGAATAGCCTGAAGGTGTTTGGTTCTCTTTGCTATGCTTCTACTTTACATAGAGACAGGACCAAGTTTTATTCCAGGGCTAGGCAGTGTATTTTTCTTGGTTTTCCTACAAGGATAAAAGGCTTCAAGCTGTTTGACCTTAATTCACACTCTTTCTTTGTTTCTCGAGATGTGATTTTCTATGAACTCAATTCTTTTCTTACCTCGAACGGGATTCATCTATTCTACCATTTCACTCCTCTTCTTCATCTACATCTTCCATTTCTGACTCTTCTGCTCCACTGGCACAAGAACCTATCCTACCCCAATTATCACCTATTGCACCAATCTCTCTTCCAAGCCATCAAATTCCTGACAAATCCACTACTTCTTCCACTCTTCAGCCTGCAAAATTACCTGTTTCACCTTCATTTTCTACTTCTCCTTATACGTCTTCTACACTGCCTGTTGTGCCTGAGGAGGTTTCTCCTGTCAGTTTGCATTCTGAGGGGGAGGATAGTGAGATTTAAGTGTTTCCTGAGCTCAATGACTCCGATGAGGCTGAACATGTAAGGAAGTCCAAGAGAACTCACACTGTGCCAGTTTGGCACAAAGACTACCATGTTAGCATGGCTGCTTTAACTTCAAAACACCATATTAGTCACCAAATTGGTTACGATCATTTATCTGCTTCTCAGGGATCATTTGCACTTAATGTGTTATCTATACAAGAACCTACCTCTTATGCTGAATCTTGTAAAGATCATCGATGGAATCAAGCCTGTAAGGAGGAGATTTATGCATTGAATGAGAATCCGACATGGGAAGTGGTCAAATTACCTGAAGGAAAGAAGCCAATAGGTGCAAAATGGGTGTTTAAATTGAAATACAGGTCTGATGGTACTATTAAGAGGTTCAAAGCATGTTTGGTGGCAAAGGGATATACTCAAATCTATGGGATAGACTTCCTTGACACTTATTCACCAGTAGCAAAAATTAATTCAGTGAAAACATTGTTAACAGTTGCTGCTTCTAAGGATTGGCACATACACCAGATGGATGTGTCCAATGCCTTCCTTCATGGGGACTTGGATGAAGAAGTGTATCTTGAGATACCACCAGGAGTTGATGTCCCTAAGGATTCAGGTCTTGTGTTTTTATATTAAAGAAGTCCTTGTTTAAAACAGGCTAGTAGACAGTGGTTTGCTAAGTTAACCAATGCTTTGTTGAAAATGGTTAATCACAAACAAAATCTTACTATTAAATGTTTATGAGGTGGATTCAAGGAAGAGTGGTGGATGTTCTAGTCTATGTTGATGACATCCTTATAGCTGGAAGTTACCTAAGGGACATAGAACAGTTGAAGAAGTTTCTAAGTAAGGATTTCAAGGTGAAAGACCTGGTCAGATGAGCTACTTCCTAGGACGGGAAGTAATCAGAGATCATAAGGGGATCTCAGTTAGTTAGAGGAAGTATTGCTTGGAGTTACTTGGGGATACAGGTTTTGTAGAAGCAAAAGACTGTTTATCTCCTATTGATTGCAATGTAAAATTGTCTGCAGAACAAGAGGAGTTGATGTCAGATCCTAGTATCTATAAAAGATTGATAGGAAGACTGCACTATCTTACAATCACAAGCCTGATGTAGCCTATGCTGTCCAACAACTTGCTCAATTTCAAGCAGCTCCATGTGTTAAACACCTGAAAGCAGCACATTGAGTGATTAGATATTTGAAACACACTCTTGGTCAGGGTCTGATCTTCAGGGCAGATTCCAAACTTGAATTGTCTGGCTACTGTGATGCAGATTGGGCAAGCTGCCCAGATTCTAGGAGATCCCCCTAATTGGATACTGCACCTTCTTGGGAACTTCATTGATCACGTGGAGGACCAAGAAGCAGACTACAATTTCCATATCATCTTTAGAAGCAGAGTACAGGGCTCTAGCTCAGGTGGTTTGCGAGGTACAATGGTTGAGAAATGTCTTGTCAGAAATGGGAGTTAAGGTGACCTTGCCTATCCCACTGTTTTGTGATAATAAATCTACTATGCATATTGCTGAAAACCCAGTTTTCCATGAAAGAACAAAGCATATCGAGATGACTGACATGTGACCAGAGAAAGATTGAAATCTGGGTTAATCAAATTGATTCATGTGAGAACTGATGATCAGGTTGCAGATTTATTTACGAAGGGAATGACTCATTACGGACTTAAGTTCCTTTTCGACAAGCTGGGACTGGGAGTGCATAACGTTTACTCGCCAGCTTGTGGGGGAGTATCAAGTGAAGCTGATGAAGATGAAACTCTGCAAAAATGAAGAAGAGAATGCAGGGGAGCTCGAGAAAGAAACCTCATCCAGTAACGAAACGTTTCTGGGTTCCCTCCACTCAACACAAACGAAGAGGCGAAGCGACATCGTAGTGGAGTCTCGGAATTTACCGTTGAGTGGATGTTACTGTGACGAATAGTGGAGAGCCATGTGTATCTTTACCATTTTGTTATTTTTGAATTTCTGTTTTCCATTTCCAGTTTTACTCTGTATCTTCAAGAACACATTTGAGGTTTCTGTATAAATACAAAACGCAGAGAGATCCCTTGTTCTTGTATGTTCCCAAATTCGTGCCGTCTTCTCTTCGATTAACCCTAGCTACAACTAGTTTGTTAATGCTGCAGATGATTGTGATAGATTGTGCGTAAAGTAAGTCGGCCTAGAGGAATGTCGGTGAACATTTTTGGGTTGTGAAGCACTCATTCTCACATTAAATATTTTCACGAGGGAAGCTTTCGTTTCTCGGTTAGTCTACTCGATTGCTTCTTGTCATTTTTCAATTCTTCTGGAATGATATCCTCAAGCTGTGAGTAAAGAATCTTCTTCATGTTCTCGTTCTGTCTCACAATGGTGTCGAGAGAAATCAAGTAAGTCAGACGGAAACCAGCGATCAGCCATTGGTAACCTTCACGTCGAGCGTGTACGAAATCAGGGATTGAAAGTTCCGGCTAAGGAGTTCCTTTCCGCGCAAGGCCATTTCTGCGAGCAAGACAAGATAATATTGGGCCCGGTAGAGATAAATAGACAATTGGGCTACGCTTTTAATATGGGCTTTCTATACCAAAAGAAATAACAGAGGGGTGACAGTTCACTAGAAATTTTGTGACCAAATTTGAAAACTTTCGGTCCAGTCTCTCACTTACAGGCCAAAACCCTAGTCCACCTGCTCTTATAATCGCAGCCGATACCGATTAGCTCTCTCCTCTTTCCATTAGGGTTTTGGTTTATTGGCTCAGCAGTTCCTCCGCGGCGAACGCCTCTACCTCCACGTCTTGAGCTAGAACGATCTGCAGCCATGGTACGGAAATCCTTTACTGCTTCTACAATATTGCTTGAAGATATTGTCGACCGATCTTCGTGTTAGTCAGTGTTGTTGAAACTGTTTCCGGTCAGCTTGTTAGCGCTTATGATAGATCTGTTATGTTTCCCTGATAGATTCAGTAGAGGTTTAAGATTTAGAGGAATCGACTGTATTTGGAGTCGATGGGCAACTTGATTGTTGATTTGGGGTTGCGAAGAGGATATTAGGCTTTGGGATACTCGTTTGATTAAGCGTTTCCATTGCATCATTTCTTCAATAACGTGCTGGGTCTAGGATTTTCGGTGTTGTTAGGCTCTGTTAGCTGGATTTCACTTCAGTTTTACTTTGAGTTTGCATCAATGAAAATAGGGGTTTGAAGAGCTTGTTTATGTTGCTGGAATAGTGAATGCTTTGTCCTTTGTTGCGTTTCAGGAGGCTTTTGGTGTTTGCATTTGTTCTGTCTGTTCATGGTTTTTTGTTTTGCACTGTTGTGTTTGGGATATTGCAGTCAAAGAGAAAGGTTAAGGAGCCCAAGGAAGAGGCTGCTCCGCTTGGTCCTATTGTGCCTGATGGAGTGAATGTTTTTGGTGTTGCCCACATCTTCGCATCATTCAATGACACATTCATTGTAAGTGCTTGAATTCCTTTCCTTTGCTTGTTCATCTTGTTTTGTTTACTGGTTCGTGTGTCTAACCCCTTTACTTCTGTTGGAATGGCAGCACGTTACTGATCTTTCTGGAAGAGAAACCCTTGTCCGCATCACTGGTAATTTCACTGATCCTGTTGGTTAGATCCATATCATAATGTCTTGTTGCTGTTATGGAATCAAGTCATTTTATTTGACCCTCCAGAGTACTCCCAAGTTATTGTGTATCTTGTTCTCCTTTTGATGTGATCTTCCTTGTAGGCTTAGATATTTTTACTCTTGTTTCTGAACCGTCTTTTACCAGACCTAGAAGATCTGCAACTTAGAGATTTTCTTTTACTAGCCTTGCTCTTATTCTCTTTTTTATTTTCTCCTTTCCTTTTTGTCCCTTATGGTTGTATTTTGGAGTTAGTCCACTCCTTGTGAGCCCTCTTTTCAATCCAGTACAACTACTCTTTCATAAAAAAATAGTTCTGTGTGCTTCAGTTTTGATCTTAACATTTCATCTGAACAGGTGGAATGAAAGTGAAAGCTGACAGAGACGAGTCTTCTCCTTATGCTGCCATGCTTGCTGCACAGGATGTTTCACAGAGATGCAAGGTCTGATTAATTTTGTGAGATAGAATTGATAGTTAATGACTTTTGCATTCGGAAAATTTTGTTTGAATGCAGCAACATAATCTGGATGATTCTTCACCCTGTGCATTCTCATTTGTATTCCCTGTGTCACCATCACAACCGAAGAGCTCAAACTATTTCCAGTGATTTTGCATCTAAAACTATTTAGGTCCCTATACAGTTATACTTGTGTGAGCAACTCAAACTATTAAATATAATTCCTCAAAACTTTTCTCTTGATGTCATTTATAGCATTAATCTATAACCCAGACTCGAGTGATCTATGCTTAGAAGTCTGTCTTTGTTTTGGGTTCAGGAACTTGGAATCACAGCACTTCACATTAAGCTGCGTGCTACTGGTGGAAACAAGACCAAAACACCTGGACCAGGTGCACAATCTGCTCTCCGTGCCCTTGCTCGTTCTGGAATGAAGATTGGTCGCATAGGTATGATGTTCTTTTCCAACTCTTATTGCTATAGTGCAGGATAATGTCCCTGTTTTTTAGTTTTGAACTTCCGTTTGGTGCTACTGTTGTCACATCCTCTTTCTATTTCCGTCTGTGTTTTATAAAATGCATACTTTCCTATATCCTCGTAGAGGTACTTCTTAAGTTCTAACTCTCCTTGTTTATTCATTGTTTCAGAGGATGTGACTCCGATCCCAACTGACAGCACTCGCCGAAAGGGTGGTAGAAGGGGAAGAAGGCTGTAAGCATTTTGCGCCGTTCCAAGCAAGATCAGGCTCTCCCTATTTGCATTATGGTTGTCTTTTCAAACAGCGATTTCAGTACTTAAGTTGTCTTTTTGAGTTTTGCCTATGGCTTTTTGGTGACAATGGGGACGAATAGTTTACATAACAATATCAGTTGAGCCGTCGCCTTTTTCATTCCATCATCAGTGAGTTTGATTTTGCACCTTTATTAGTGTCAAAATTGATCTAAAGCTAAGCAGACAGTCATTGCTGTCAAGACTGTCGTCTTCTAAGAATATTATGCTCTGTCGAATCATCATATCAACTGGCCTAGACTCGTTTTCGCCATGCCAAAGGCTGTTGGGTTGGCTATCCGTTTTGGTGTGGTCGTCGTCGTCACAGTTGAGTATTCGGCCAATCATAATTCGTATACCTTATCTCGCCCACACTAACATACACGTTTTTCTATTTGAAAGAATGATCTATTCAATGTGAGGCGGAAAAATGGATTCAATCTTGATGTGTGGTTTCCTACTTCGAATTGGGTCCCAAGCCACAAATTCATGACAAAAAAAAAAAAAAAGTTGCAGAAGGCTTCTGTCCTGGGATGCCTCAATACAAGTCTAACACTTGCTGTCCGAACAACTATAAAATTTATACGATGAGTCTCGGTAATTAGTTAGTTTTTCAACGATCAATGTTAGTGTTTATGTGATAAAATATCAAGCTTATTTATAAACAAAGAATTTTGTAACCGACTTGGAGTTTGGTAGGTGGACTTCAAACTTATTGTTTAAGTTCGGACTTACACGTTATAGTGTCTCTTTGTTGTGGGTTGGGTCGGATTGTATATTCGTGTCCAATATCTTCATAGAGGGATTGGTTTTCTTGGAAGAAACCATTTATTAATGAATAATGACATTTATAGCTAGTTTTATAATCGTTTTCGAAACCTCGAAGGGGGTTGCGATGCGAGCACTATAGACAGAATAAGCATAATTCCGGTCTTTTGGTTTTCTCGATTTTTCTTTTGTTTTTTTTACTTGTTAGATTTAGCAATACTGCTGTTTTATTCTTGTACCTGTACTTCTTTAGTAAAGTAGTGACGTTCCCCTTTCTCATCTTGAAGAGACATGCCAGGATAAAAAAATGGTCAAAACCCCTCAATATGGAGAAGCAAGTCTGCTGACGAGGGAAACATACATTTCTTCGTTTTATCTTCTTCTTCTTGTAAAACAAACACAAAACTGTGAGCGTTGGTTGTTGCCGACTTTCAGTTGTGTTCCTGGGTGCCAACCTGTGGTTGGCCGCTACCCTTTTCCTCGGCTCTAGTTTTGACTCTGAAGAAACAGATTGGTTTGGTTTAGGGGCTGAAAAAACGGGCTGGGAGTGTTTGTGGAGCTCTTGAACCGCGTTCAGACTCTGCTCAGGGGCGGTCCCATAAGATCTTGCAAGAAAGGTTCTCCGGGGAATTCTGGGACCTACTCCGATTCCTAAGTTAGTGAGAGAAATGAGAGAATCGTAAGAGAGAGAGTAGTAGTTGAAAGTTACCATAAATGTTATCTATCAGGAGATATTTATACTTGTTTTGATTGAGGTGAGGCCATTTAATGACCTGTCGGTCTCTATTAAATGCGAAGTCAGAATGTATCTTTGTCAGTCTCCCTACTGGGTAAGTCAAGAAGCCGTTAGACCTTTATATCTTGCGGTCTTCTAGGTTTACGTAGGAAAATATGTCGGGCGGTTGGGTTCCAGTGAGTTTTCAGCAATCTAGGGGTTGATTGGGTTCTAGTGAGACAACTGGCAGATTTAAGTAGATTTAGAGGGGCTTTGGAACTTCAAATTATCTCTCGCGCAATCATCAGTACTTTGTGTATATGTATTTTCTTTATTTTTTTAATCTTCTAAGCACCTCGGATTGTGGGCATAATCGACTGTTTGGTGTGACAGGTGAAGCAGAGGCTACAATTGTGTACACACATGTTAGCTTTGGAGCTGATTCCATCCCTTAGTTCCCAATATTTGGGAATCCAAGCTTTCCCCTAGATCTGTCATTAGCATTCTTTCTTTATAGTTCTCTTTACTCCAATATTTGCAGTCATTCATCTTCCTGTGGGGTCTTTCTATTTCTACATTCGTTTGGAATTCTTACAGAGTTGGTTGGGGGTTGTGGTTTATGACTTCACCAGTTATAGGTCTAGCGGGTCAGAAAGATATCTTTTTGGAACCGAACAGTCAAGGCCGGTATATTGTGAAATCTCCACAGTAGTTCTCTCTGTCTGGTCATTGTTTCTATTGAACACTGTTGATTCTTTTTTACAGTCGCATGGAGAACCTCCAGTCCTAAGTCCCTTGAATTGTCATTGTGGTCTCGTTGCAATTAGCCTCTGCTGTTTGTGTTTAAAGCATTTCAGTTTCCCTTCCATGTTGGTGATGGCCATTCATTTCCTCAGGTGAAGTCTTATTTCATAGACCGTGCAACTGTGATGCAGTCAATGCGTGCATTAGACATTCTACATTCTTGGTATTCATGATAATGCGCTTATCAAGTAGTGGCAGGGTGAGGCGTTGATTTGTTATCTTCCCGGAAAGGGACACAACTTTGTGAGATTAGAGGACAAGATGACAAACAAATGCTCTTGCGGTGCCTTGGCGAAGTGATTGTAGGGTGTACATGAATCCGAGTATTATGTGTTTCAATTTCAATTTTACTATGCTCCTGAAAGTTTGTCAAATTATTATTGAGACAAGAATCAATTGTCTTTTTCTAATGGTTTATTGTTTTTTTTTGGCTTAGTAGCTAGTAGACAACACTATGGATGTAAGTCTTCCTACTGGGGAAGTCAAAAAGCCGTTAGACCTTTATATCTGGCGGCCTTCTAGGTTTACGTTGGAAAATATGTCGGGCGTCTCCTCGTGCCTCTTCAAAGACCGCAAAGTGAGGGGCTCCAACATGTATGCCAGCCTGTTTGGGCCTGGTTTGCTTATTTATGCGCTTTTAGTCACCATGGATTCGGGGCCCACGCGTCTCAATGCTTGGCCCAACTGACAGATTCTTAAATTGGTTCGAAATTGATTTGTGGGTTCAACCTTGGGGTCAAATGGATTGATTGGTCGGACATGAGGAATTAATTGGTTTATTGGCTAATCCAGCTAATAACTACATACGGCATGTACTTGGTAAAGTGTTTATGACTTGTTAAGAGGGAGGAATAATCCAGGTGATGAGAAATAGGGTAATAATTTGGAATCTTGGTGACCATATGTTGCTGTAGTCAAGAAGGTTGTATGAAAATCTTCTAGTAAACAGGTTGTTTTGGTAATCTTTGCGATGTTCTCAAGGCAATGGGTAATGAATCTTGTGCGTGGGATGGAGGTGAATAATATGAAGTGGGAGGAGACTCTACTAAAGGTGTAAAAGGTGTAGAAATAGCAGGTGAATCAGAGGGATAATAGTATGAGTTAGTGGTTTCATGAATGTTATGATCTGAGGGTATGAAGCATAAAACATTGTGACAAAGAAACATATGTGATTGTTTATCGCAATTAGCTTGAGATCTTAGTTGTACATGAACAACACAAATGTACATTTTTTTATAGGAAACCTGGGATCTTATATTAATGGAAATCAGTTTTGGCCCAAAGTGCCATGGCCCAAGTCGGCCTCAATCAGAAAACAAAGCAACAAAGGAGGATTTTCTACCCAAACAACCTGTTGATCCCAACCCAGACTAGCGTGAGCCAACCAGTGGGCCACTGAGTTGGTCTTTCTTGGAGCAAAGCACCACCTAACTTTTTCCCCAACCAGAGATTCGTTCACCCTGCCAACGATCTAAGCTCATCACTCCAAACTCCCATCTCAGTGAAACCTTCCGTTCCATTCTTCAAAAGATTCACAAGCACCTGGCAATTAGTTTCAACAATAAGAGGGCCGAGAGCTCTTTGATTTGCTTCCTTCATACCCATAATCAACGCCTTTGATTCCGCTTCGATCGGTCGGAATACTCCTCTTTCCTTCTTAGCCATAGCACCAACAAACTCACCCAGCCAGTCCCGAATGATGCAACCCAATCCAATTCTCTGGTTCTGGAAAACGCCCGCATCAGCTTTCAGCTTGTAGAAGCCCTCAGAAGGAGGGGTCTAGTGGCAGATTGGTGGAGGTCGGTGCCGAGGAGGGCAAGCAAGAGAGCTCGGATCTGGTGATGCATTTGCCGCCAGGAACGAAGAGAGCCAGGCCAGAGCACGCGGGACAATCTCGTCCTCATCCAGCTTTCGATTATTGTACTTATGATTGCATCTCTCTTTCCAAAGGTACCACAAGATCGAACTGAATTTTGGATTCTGTCTTCCGTGAAAGTTTTCAGTATCTCATTGATCCATTCGTAACATGATTTCCCTTCTCCTTTCTCAAACATCTCTCCTACTTCACAGCCCCTCCATCATCTACGGATCCAGTCACAGTCATGAAGAGCATGCTTTTGTGTTTCCGGGAGGTTGCAAAAAGGAAAATTTGGGGCAGCGTTCTCAATCCATTCTTCAATATGGGCACCCACAGGTAAGATATTCTTGCAAACCTTCCATAGGAAAGCACGTACCTTAGGTTGGATATGAAGCATCCATAGAGCCTTCCAGAACTCAATATAATAAGTGTTAAGATTGTGTGTCCTGGCCTGGTAGTGAGATTGTTGTCTGCGAATGAAGTGATAAGCTGATTTTACGGAGTAGGCTCCATTTTCTGAGTATTTCCAAACTCTCGAATTCGGTTCAAGAGGGAAACAGAGGGGAATCTTAACAATAATATTCTTATCCTCTCGAGAGAACAACAACCTCAGCTTCTCACCCTTCCAAGTCCCTGTCTCAGGGGCAATGAGGGAGCTGACTTTTTCTTCGGGCATATCCCCTGATGGGGCAGGGTCAGCTTGGAAAAAGCTTTTACCTGGGATCCATTTGTCTTTCCAAATACTAATCGAAACTCCATTTACAACTCTCCACCTGAATCCTTCCTCAATTTTCTCTTTTGCTTCCATGATACTCTTCCTAATGTAACTAGGCTTATAACCCATCTTAGCTTGTAAGATATCCGTTTTGGGAAAGTAGCGGGCCTTGAGAAATCTGGCCATGAGAGAATTTGGTCTAGTAAGCATATTCCAGACCTGTTTCTCAAGCATCGCATAGTTAAAAGATCTTAGGTCTCTGAAACCCATCCCACCATCCTTTTTTCCATCGCATAGTTCATCCTACTCGATCCACTGAATTTTTGACTCCTTTCCCTTCTGCCCCCACCAGAAGTTTGAAATAAGATTTTGAATCTCTTTAAGAGTACCCTCTGGAATTTTAAAAACAGACATGGGATAAAGACATTGAGCTTGGGCAATGGCCTTAATCAAAATCTCCTTACTAGCTTGAGAAAGAGTCCTGCTCTTCCAGTCTTTCAGCTTTTTCCTCACCCTTTCTTTTATTTCCTCAAAGATTACCTTCTTTGATCTTCCCACCACAGTAGGGAGGCCAAGGTATTTCTTGTGGTTTTCAACTTCCTTTATGCCCAGAGTACCACAAATCTCCAGTCTTCTACTGATTCGAACATTTTTGCTGAAAGAAAGCTCAGATTTTGAGAAGTTTATGAGCTGCCCTCATTCCATTGCATAAGTATTCGTAATTTCCTTGAGTTGATCACACTCTGTAATTAGTCGAATTAGACATATATACATATGTGATTGGTTAGTTCAATTAATTAGCTATTTACTACAGATTAGTTGTTGCTAATCAACAACATTTGCACAGTTGACCTATATATTAATAAATGAAAAAAATCAGAAGGCTCTCAGTTGAGAATCCTTCACCAAAATTCAATATGTTGTTTTTCTTCCCACTCACCCGCAATTGATCTGCTATTGTGATTGGTAAAGATCACTCATATTTTATTGAAGAATTTTGCGATAACAATAACCGTCGAGGGTCAGACGATGAATGAAAATATCAATTAAGTTTTAACGGGGTTCCATGACAAGGTAGATTCTGCATTGAGGAACGATGAAAACCCTAGATGAGGCCTCCTCACTTTCTCTCAGATACTAAAAAGGAGTAACTTTGCTACATCTAAGTTTATGTTAAACATTAATACCCTGTTTGGAGTAAATAAGAATGAGAAAGCCTTATATAAACCCAATCCTATTAGTCTCTAAAAATTAATTATGGTTAGGGGTAGGGGTGGAAATTGGGGTGGGTGTGGTTACCTGCCCCACATTTTGCCGGTAACGACATTCACAAATATAGAATTATACTACCCACTACCCGCTGCTAGTTGGTGCGGGTTGGTTGTGGATACCCACAAAAATTTCACATTAAATATAATAATATTGTAATTAAATAGTGATGTTGTATTTCTTCTCACACAAAAATAAAAACATACATAAAAGAAAGTTAATAAAGTGTAAAATTTAATTAGAAATCTCGAATACAATAGGTTAGTTAGTGTAAATTCAGAAGTGATGGATTTGGAAAGAGATTTGAAATAACGGAGAGGTGGAGTGATATGTTACCAGACTAACATCGTTGCATGTCACGACTCCTCCGATGGCAACAACAGCAAAACACAAAAGTGGCTCGATAAGTGGAGGCGCTTGCTTTTAATGAATCGATTATTCTCC